ATTTTAATATTTTAAATTAAAAAATTTCAATTTAAATATTATTAAAACTTTTTTGCCGTGCATTGTGTTAAAACTGGCAGCACTTCAATTGGTTCTTTTTTTTTTTAACAAACTTTATTCGGGCCAACAACATTGGAACAATAAAGATGTTGTATTKTTTGCCTTCAATAACTTAAGGTACAACTTAAACTATTAACCAATTGCTGATTTGTTCTACTAATGTTCAAGCACATAAATATTAAAGTAACCATGAAATAAACAGTTGAATCTTTTTTTTTTTTACTTCAATTGGTTCTTGATGAAATTARTCTTGATAGGACACAATGCAAGCGTTTGCTTTGTGTGCTTGAAGCTGACCGATGTGCCTGTTTGCTGCAAACTTTCTYTTCCTTCGCAGTCACTCACTGACAAGCATAAAAAGAATTTCATCTTTACTCGAAAGTCCCCATTCTTCAGGAACAGAGATGGTGAGCATGATGGCAGTGATCTGCAGCGTAAGTAAACTCACAGATATACATGCACCTTCATGCAGGCTCACTGTGGCCCCTGGGACGGGCCAGTAGCAGAATTAAAGGTGCCTTTATACTCGACAGACAAATTAATGGATCCATTTGGTCGCAATTTTTTTTTGTCCCACTGTAACTTCAGATGCTGATCACCCAGCAGATCATGAGCTAGATCACTGTARCTCATTTAATTGGGGTCTCTTCCTTTTTTGTGACATTTTCTCCCCAGTTTCKTCTCAGGCCCAATAGTTCCAGCTGTCATTCTGTGTTTTAGGTGGATGTCTTYGCTGGCAGGAACTAAACTGTGGGCTCCCCCTGCTCTTTCTCTCTCTTTTCAACATTTGACTCATGTATCGCCTGTCCCCTTCTTGTTTTTTTTCTTTAACTCCACCTCTCTTTGGATGGCCAATAGGAYCTCTTGGGAACAGGTGATGATGGGTATGAGACAAGAACATCCAGTAAGTTGGTTAAGTTGACCGTGTCAATGCAACCTCATTGGTTGTGTGAGCAGTTTGTCCTCCCTGTATCACTGCATGCTGCTATTGGTTCACAGTGTCTGTCAAATGCAGCCTTTTTATATTCAGATTTCAACATTTTCTTTTGTTTTTCTGCTTAATGTTTCTATTTTTATAACAAACTGCAAGAAGTGAAAGAGTCTCAGAATCACACTTTCAACCTTAGTTCACAAGACCCTCCCTACCCTGTGGCAGTYTCATCTCCAGCCACTTCACAGCCGGTTTATGACTGCTGAGCTCAGCTCACATGTTGTGCACATGGAAAATATGCAACAGCTAAACTGTATAAAGTCAGGGCATATACATTATTAAAAGTATTTGAAACATTTTACTGGTGACATACAGAGACAGACTAATCCACTCTCACCTCATGCACAGTTTGTGAGGGATTGCACAATCCAAGGTGAGGCACAGCTGCTGCCACACTGTCCATCTCTTCATGGTATTTGAATATGAAGGGCAAAGATTCAGCAAGTTTGAATTAAAACAATATTGAAAATTGTTCATGTTAAATGAATTGAAATTGGTTATGCAAGTACAAATTTTAATCACTGAATAAATATGGCGATTTATATATTTTCTTCCCATGATGGCAGGTTAGGCTTTGCCTCCCCTGCCTCTCCTGACCGTACGTCCCTTCCTCCCAACCTAGGTGGAGTTTGCATGTTCTCCACGTGCATTCATGGGTTTTCTCCAGGTACTCAGGTTTTCACCCACAGATGCTACGTTATTTGGTAACTCTAAAGTCCACCTAGGTCTGGATGAGATGGTCAGTGGTTGTTTATCTTTATTTTTATTTATTTTTATTTATTTATTTATTCATTTCATTAAAAAAACAAATTCACATAAAACAAAAAATACAAATCAAATAAAATGAAAGGCAACAGAAAAAAATTATATCTGCCCACATTTAAAAAAACAATATTAATTTGAAACCTTTATGATCCAATAACTGAAAAAAACAAAGACTTCAGTTCCTCAAAGAGTAATTCCTATAAAAACACATTATACAACCCTATAACTCTCCAACAAACCAACTCTTATCCTTCTCTTAAACAAATTAAGTGAACYGTTTTACAATCACTGACCAGATTATTCCATAATCTTATTCCTTGGACTGAAGTACATCTGTCCAATTTTTTTCAAATTTTATGATTTACAAACATCTCAAGTCCCTTAAGATTCTAATGACTTTCCCTCTTAACAAAATATAATTGAATGTTCAAAGGTAATACATATGAGCTTTATACATAACCTGCAAAATATTGTAATAAACCAAATCATAACATTTTAATAATTTCAATTGATGAATTAATGTATTTGATAGGTGATTGACAGACATYTACTACCACCCCCAGTTCAGTGCCTGCTAGGTGCCCAGGTCCTGAGGATGCCTCTGCATTTTGGCTTTTTTTGTTGTTGTCAGCAAAACGACTAAAATATTTTAAAAATATTGTGTCGTCCCGTATCGCATCATTTTTAACAGATCAGTTTTATGTGTCAGACCAAATTGTTTGGCTGTATTTAGTTAAATGCTGAAGAAAGTGGRTTTTATTATTGTCCCTGTAGATTGTAAGTTCTGAAGAGGATTTTGGTAAATGGTAAATGGACTGAACTTATAGAGCGCTTTTCAAGTCCCTCCGGACCCCAAAGCGCTTTACACTAACAGACATTCACCCA